TTTGTGTAGAGTTAACGAAAGTTATCATGAGCGTTGTGTGTTGTGTTGTGTGTTGTGTTGTGTTGGTGGAATGACCTGCCTCTCTCAATTAGAGTCTTTAGCCATTCTCAAAAAAATGTGTAAAGAAAGACATCTTTTTCATCAGCACTTAACCAAATAATACTAACACTTACCTTTTCTATTCTATAATATTCGATTTGTTTATTTTTCTGAGTACTGTGCTAGACAGAGACTTGTTACAGCACTTGTATACTGGTTTTTTTTTTAGTGTTCTGTCATGTTGTGCGTTTTGTTTCGTCTACGCAATGAAAAATCAATGATTTCCAATACTGTGTTGTTTTGGACCACATTGACTTTCATTGTATGGACAAAACGGATGAAACATTCATCAAAATACCATCTTTTTTGAATATGATAATTCAAATTTTGGGTTGAATTATCCCTTTAAGTCTGATCACTACGAGAAGTTTCTCCTCAGCAAGTATGATTTGAGGTACTGTATCATCCATGGCTGTAGCACAAACATTACAGGACAAGTTAAGCAACCACGCAAGAATACTTACTGTTTTGACTTGAATAAACCCTTATATATGAGCAATAGTTAGTGGTGTTTGCCAAGACAAGCGTCACAATTACCAAGATATCTCTCCATGAGACATATCAGAAAAAAAAAAAAAATTCCATCTCGTCTTGACAAAGACTTTAATGAACCAAGTCAAAACAACCTCCCCCTAATGCATATCGCCCGGCAGATATAATGGAGTGCTACTCGCGCAATTCAAAACTGCTGCTGACTTCTGTTAGCGCAGACAAAACACACACTCGCAGCGAGAGGCACGCACTCACCTGGTTTAGAAATGAGTTATCACATTAAGAGATCCGACATCTGTCTGAAGCCATTAGAGTTTCAACAGCTTTTCAGAAGGATCACATTATAAATACTTTCCTCCCATGAACACTGGGAGAACAACGAGAAAGAAACAAGAAACGCTCATCTATTCATGCACTAATGGAATCTTGTCTTTCATGGTATCTTGGCTTATGGCTGATTAAATGTGTTACGGCTCAGCAGAAAACAAAGACAGTGTGTTTTAAGGATTCCACTGGAGGCGAGACCGAGACGTAGCGATGGCTAAAAGAATGCGGTTTTGTTTAAAGCTAAACATGAGATTTCTAGCACACTTGATATGGATGCATACTAAGTTTGAAAGAGTCAATGTTGTAAAATCTCGGTTTTCTAACTTTATAATACACTGACAATCACCAAAACACACAGGTGGGAAAGAGAAAGCCACATGATGAATACAAGTTCATCAAAAGTAGCTTTTCCACAAGCTGAGAGAAATATTAACATATGCAGGTGCTCCGTGTCATACACACAAATACAAAACACCATCGTGATAACACACACACACAACACAAAAATAATACAATAAACATTAACCTAAAAACACAACATGTAACGTAAATGACAAAACTAAGATGATACATAATTAAATAACTTAAACCTATAAAAAAAAAAAAAAAATCAAATGTAAAGCGTCACAATAACTGATGGCCCTAAAAAACTATTTATTTCTTTAAAGCAAAATATAATTTTCATGATCTGCATTTGTAAATCACTCTGTGCATCTTAACCCTATAAGGCCTGGCCTACTGTATCATATGTAACATTACTGTATCAACATGATCAAAACTTTGCTGAAAAACCTGTTGCACAAAATCTACACCATGCCTTCTGTCTTCTGATTGAAAGTTCATACGTTTTTGGCAAGTAAAAGGCCTTTTAGTATAATTGTGAACCACGACCTGAAGGGACATGTTTTACGTGTCTTTCTGCTGTGAAAACTTTACTGATTTTTATAAAGTAAACGTGATTCTTTTGGTTTTGAGGAGAAATATGATCTAGATAGTTTTCAACAATTGCGAGATTCACTCAAGATGTCTCGTGTCATTTCCAAGCAGTCATATTTAGAAGTGGTCAGCTGTAAGTTTGCATGTGTATGTGTGAGAGTGTGTATGCTGCTCTGCTGTTTAAAGCCTCTTCTGTGCTCATAGTATTTGCGTGTACATGAGTGTGTGTGTGTGTGTGTGTGTGTGTGTGTGTGTGTGTGTGTGTGTGTGTGTGTGTGTGTGTGTGTGTGTGTGTGTTCTGGGCTCGAGGCCACGGTAAGAGCCTACACACACGTCCGCCACACACCCACCATCCAGCGGAAATGAGAACCATTCCGTCCTGCCACCAAACACACACACACACACACACACACACACACACAACTGCATGTACACTTTACAACACACACCCCACCAGAATGTACTTTCTATCCATCTTCCTATGACTCGTCTCACTTTTTTGACACACACACACGACAGCCTTTCACTAGAGTGGATGGAGACCAAACCCTCTTTGTGGTGAATGGTTAAGTAATAAAAAACAAATATAATTATTTCTTACATATTTGAACACAAATCAGCACATCCTTTAGGAACGAAAGTAGAGCAAGAACTTCCTCAAAACACACACACACACACACACACACACACAGAGAGAGAGAGAGAGGCGTTTGTTAGGAGTGTCTCCCCTTCCTAGTCTCTCGTTAAGGCCTGCTTCCTGTTCCGGCTCCTCCCACGAGAGAACGAGGCATGGAATAGCACTCATGGGGGCGAGAGAGGAGTGGAGGGGCGGACAGCCAAATAAACTTTCCTCCAGACACACTCTTTAATTCAGGACAGACCTGCAGCCGTCAGACCATGTCTCATATAACGCTCTGCTCTTTTAATGCGCGCAGCTGAGAGGAAGTCTGGCGACCCGAAAGAGAGTCATTAACACACCTTCGACATATTTATTAATTGCAGCAGCCTGGCTGTAGTTGTTTTATGCAATAAACATATCAGTTCCGACTGAAATAGAACAACCGCAGATTTTTTCCACAGAGGACACGCAAATTGATTCCAGGTGTTTAAAGACAATAACATAATTCCAGCCAGCATTCATAACTAACTTAAGATTACGCATATATGGACAGTCAATGCAACTGTGATTCAAACGACAATCTATTCCAGGACAGATGTTCAGTGGAAGATAATGTCTCATTTGGAAAATATTTGATGTTCGACATTCCAATGGAATAAAAAAGAGATTGAAACAATGACAGACAAAACAGCTCTGCTCTAAATCCTCAGTCTATTCCCTACATAAGCAACATACTAACCCAAACGAAACCACACGTGGCAGCAATTTCACACCGGATACAGAATGCTTTATTCATTAGACTTAACACAATGTCCACCAGACGCGAGGTGATCCTGCAACATGCGATAAAAGCTATCTTTTCCATGTTAATCAGAGTTTCTGTCCAACGAGTGACAAGGGATTCTCCATTTTAGGGTGTGTTCACACTTGCAATTCAGTTCTCTTGGTTCTTTTTGTCCGGAACCAAAACACATACATTTAGTGCTATGCTGTGTGAACTCAGTGCTGTGTGCTGGGCTAAATGTGCTCGTTGTATGCATCAAAACTATGACAAGAAGAATCAGATATTCTTGAGCTTTCAGTCCTTTTTAGGGGAGCATCTTCATGTTCATTAAGATGTCTTTGGTCCATGTTGCACCGAACCACACCTAAAAAAGTGGTTCTCGGTCCGCTTGTTTGGTGCGCACCAGGGTTCGGATCGCAGCGTTCACACTAATTAAAATGAATCGCACTAACAGAGCAATCACACCAGAGTTCGTTTTAATCGACACAAACCTGCCAAATGTGAACACACCCTTAGAAACAGTTTCCATTTGTCTGATGTCACGGCAGTAACAACAACAAACCATGACAATAATAATCTCAGGTACTGATTATAGGCTTTTTTAATGTTAGAAAAATGCAGTCTGAGTTTGTATATCATGTTATGTGCACTTTATAACCATACTGATAACGACAATTGGAAAATTTACCTCAGATCTCACAAATAAATGAAAGGAAACCAGAAAGTTCAAACTGTGAACTCAAGGGTATTCTATGACAAAGATTGTATCAGTCACTCTGTATTTATTAATAATGTTAAAATGATGTAATATTTCTGAATTTGATTGTGTACTTATCCATTCGCTTGCTAATGCAGTGAGATACGCCCATACGCTCTTCTGATTGGTTGTGATTTTTGATTGATTTTGTCGGATCTCATAGTCGTGTCGCATCTGGTGTGGACAGACAAATTGCTTGTTGCTGGAATCGTATCGCATCGCGTCTGGTTAAGACTCAGTGTAACTCAGAATTGAGCCTAGTTTGATATTCTCATGTCACTAAGCTAACTATGACATGCTCTAAAAAGCAAAAATAAAGAATAAAATAATAAGTGCGTTGTGAAGCGTGACAAATGCATCTTGAAGCTCATGTGAGAAGTGACGTCCTCTGCACTTCCGCTTATGTCAACCGATATCGCCAAGGCCAATATATTGGCATTTTTTAATTATCACCATCGTTGATAAGGTTTGCTGTTTGTTTGATAAAAGTCGTGCCATCGGCCACCAAAAAATCTATACAGGTCGACCACTATTTATGTCAAGTGTAATGAATGTGTATGTGAATGTGTCTCCGGCAATGGTTTATAGTTAAATAAGTGTAAAATATAATTTTTTTGTTGTTGATGTTTTGTTTTGACACACGGCTCCGCTTCAGAAGACATTGATTCATCCACTGGAGGCTTATGGATTACCATCATGATGGCTGTATGTGATTTTTGGAGTTTCAACATTCAGTTCATCTATTTACTTGCATTAAATGGGCTCACAGAGATGGATTATTTTTCTAAAAATCTTTGTTTGTGTTAATCAGAAGAAGAAAGTCTCATATGTCTTGGATGGCATTAGGGTGAGTAAATGATGAGAGAGAATTAGAATTTTTTTTGGTGGAGCATCGCTTTAATCTGCAGTCTAAACAGCCAGTGTACTAGTTTTTGGAACAGAGCCTGCTTGAAAATGTTTCGATAAAAACCAAAAAGAGCACTCACTTTTTCAAAGGGTCGATCACAGTCTTCGTAATCTGATTGACCTGCAAAGACAGAAAAAGAAACACATTAGCTGAAAAAGATGAATCGCTAATAGCTGAATGACAACCATCAAAATAAATTACATTGATCATTACGGTCGAACATAACAAAAATCTAAATAAATAAATAACTGACATCCCAAAACCTTCTCAGTGAAGCTAATTGGCAACAGGATATGACATGACCCCCACTTTTAGAAGATCAACAGCTGACGCCCCTTCCCTATCAATGCGAAGCGCGTTTGGCATTCAAATGAGAAGTATGGAGGAAAAGTTTGTGACGTTGTTTCTTTATTGTGCTCCTGGCCTGAGGAAAGCAGCGAAAAAGACGTGAATATTAATCGAGCAGTGAATACAAAAGGCAGGAATCGTCGAGGGACGGCACATGAAAGCGCAGCCCCGACTGCAGTTGAAAACGCCGAGAAGGGTGGGCCGCCGTACAAGATGAAAGTTCTCTGCAAACAAACATTTTTAACAATAACAGTTTATATTCCCCTCGTTCCTCCATGTGGTGTCAGGGCTGGAGAGGAGAAGAGAAGAGGAGGGGGAGGAAGAGGAGAGGAGGGAAGGGGGGGGTGTTTGAGTTAAATGGGTGTAAACGAACGTCGCATTGCCGCCTCAAGCCCCAAACCAACAAAGTCTTAAAAGTTGCCACACAATTAAAATCTTAAACTTGCAAAACATCATTTACATTGCAGATCTGAGATGTCAATAGGATGCGGTTGGCTGACAGAATGCTAACCTAACCTGGCAAAACAATGCAAGAAGAGAGCAAACAGCGAACGTTACACCAGAGCACGAGTTGACAGGCCCATCAGAGGGCTGTAGCTTATGGAGCTAATCAACAACTCACTCGCTATTGAGAGCAGAGTCAGTCACTGAGAGCAAACACAACTCGACCCCAGAACACAATGATTCATTAAAGACGAGCTAGAAAAAAAGTGGTGGCTAGACAAAATGCCTTATTAATAAATAAATAGACTCAATTTACTTTCTTAATAAAAGTTTCAAATTACTGTAAACTGAGGGTTAGTTGTAGTTGTTCATTAACCTTAAACCTAACTATAAATAAATAATAACTGACCCAATTTATTTCTTAATAAATGTTTATGGTTGTATAATTGTGGTTAGTTGAAGTTGTAAATCAACCCTGAACCCAACAAAACAAACAAACAAATAAATAATGTGTTTTGGTCTTGACATAAATCATTGTAAACTTATTGTTTTGTTGTACATTAACCCTAAAGGGTTAAGGCTAACCCTAGAATAAATCAATTAATTTACTTTAATAAATATTTCTGGTCTTAACATACATTATTGTAAACCATAAACCCTAAATTTGTGTAAACCCCAAACAAACAAATAAATAACTAAATAAATTAATTCAGTGATATAAATTTCCTTAGTGATATTTACCTCGATTTTTATTTTCTATATTCATCACATATCTAATATTTCATCTCAAACATCCTCTTCACTGACACTTGTCTCCTGAAGGAAAGTACACAAATTAAACAACAGAATTGCTTGGTGTGGTGGAAACGACAATAACATCCATTATCTGTGTAAAAAAAAAAAACGGATCAATTATTTTAACGCAATACATATTTAAATGATTTAGTTTTAAATATATATACTATGATCTTAGATTTTCAGGCATTTGAAAAGAAGCAGATTTAAATGAAAGCATGTCTTTTCCCTGTAACCTTCGTATTAATAAAATCTAAAAAAAAAAAAATCAGTTAGTTTTAATAAAGATCAACCTCTGTAATGAGTTGCCCCGTAGATGAAGAAACAACCAAATACAGATAAAACATTACATGCAAGTTGATTTATTTCTCAGTTGACAAAAGAGATGGAAGGAGAGATACAGTAGATGGTGGGAATGATGGGGAAGTATATCCATATGATGAGAGAACAGCCTGAGGAAAACACTCCAGTGAGAGTGTGTGTGTGTGAATCAGGGGCCAGAGATCAACCGCACACACAATACATAACACCCAAAAATACATACAATGCATACAAACCCTGGAAAAATCGATATTCCTCCTCACCATTATGGCTGCTAGTTATTAAACATTAAAGTCTCTAGAGCCTTAAAGCTGCTAAAACATGACTTAAAAATACCCAGTGAAGGCCTAAAATGAAGCTACACTTATCATCATAACATTTTCCTGCCTATTTGTATCCACCCCGGGGCAATCCATCTTACCCTCGACTGGGAGCTAAGACAACAGCTTAGTTATCTTTATATAACACAAATATGATTTGCTTGGCTACCGTGACAAAACCTCTCAATCTGAAGAACAGGGGGAGTTTTTGCAGGTTTGCTATGTGATTCATGGAAGTCTTATTAACCATTCAAGCATCCTAAGCAGGGAAATTCACACCAGCACACTGCAAAATGCAGAGCTGAAAAATCAGCTGTGCTAACATCTCTAGTCGCCCACGGATAGAGCGCCGTTCGCCTGCCAAGTGCCCATACAGTAGAGTATGAGAAAACGGTGCTCAGGCGAAGAGGAGAGCGCTGTAGAAAGCATTTGGCTTTGGTGAATCTGACAGAGGGGTCAGCGGAGAGCAAGGATATTTGCATCAGGCTTCAATCTGCTATTTCTGAGATCTGCCGAGCTGCGGATTGCATTACAGCTAAAGGCACTCGTGGTGTATTTTACACTGGCGGGTTTGCATCCACGACGTGTTCGACTGATCAACTATTGCTGGCTTTGATTGTCAGCTGACGGCAACCACGTTAAAAAAATATGGAGTAAATTACTGTAAATCTCATCAGGACAACAAAAGAATATATTTGTTTTATGTAAATGGGGGATCATGTAGATGGATTGATTTTATGATTTTTTTTAGTACCTTTTGTGTTCCTAAAATCTTATTTTGTTTATCTATCTAATCACTTTTTGTGTTGCAAATCTGAAGTCGCATGATAGCCGAGACTGAAATTGATGTCATTATTCACAGGTAGTCTTCCTTTCTAGTGAGCGGTTAACACGAGAACGCTGAATCTGTGAATAAAACTAGAAAGCTGTATCAGTCTAATCTAATTTGTGAGTAACGATCAGTCAGTTTATTAAAATGACCTGGTTGCATTGGTTGTGGAATTAACAGCTGACTGGAAGAAAGATTATCAGTGAATAACGACTTAAATTTCGGTCTGTTTCTCACACAAAGCTGCAATATAATTTCACTGGACTTGGAAAACAGAGAAAAAGTCTGAATAACTACTTTTATGGTGATTTATGGTGATGACGCGGCAATTTTTTGTAGATTATTGGTCACTATGAACCAGTGATTAATGTATTTTTTGGCACAGAAGAAAGTTGTGTGGGTTTAGATTTGCATGAAGGATGAAAGTCAATGACAACAGCATTTTCCTTTTTGGGTAAACTAACCCTCTCAAGATTCTCATAAAGAACATCTGAATGATTGACAAGACATGCTAATGCATTGGGTAACATATCCGATCTTAGAACAGATTAAAGAAAAAAAAGTGTATTTCCCCTAAAAGTCATAATTAGCCTTCAATGTTCTACAGTAAAAGTCTGAAAACAGTAAATAGCTGAGCTCTGAATGGTCAGCAGAATGGGTCAAAGTAGAAATCGTGCAACATGTTATAACTCTTCACGCTGGGAGCAGTGCTGTGCCGTTTCACCCCATACAGCTCAATGCATTGGGAATGTTGGCGCGAGTCACGTGAAGGACCCAGTTTCCAGGGCGGAGGTTGTAGGCGATAGACCAGAGAAGATGAGCGCTACTCTTCTGACATGCAGCCAGTGCTGAGTGTATCGCTTAAGGGCTCTTAACCACTTTCAAAAGAAAGGACTGACTCCAATGTGGGGAAATGAGAGGGAAAAAAGACAACGATCAGTGTCAGCGGCAGCAGGAAACAGAAGATAGCAACGCAGAGATGGGACTCATTTGAAGATGCATGTGCACGCTGAGTGTGGAAGGGCGTGGGGTCTGCTGTGAGAAAAACTTACTCATACCCAATCTGCTGGAGGGAAGACAGAACGTACTTCTGCCAAAGTCAGAGACGCAACTATTTTTCTCGGCCAAAAGTTGAAAATAAACACGGGTTAGAAGGTGTTGCAAGGCAGAAATTAAGTTGGTCTATGGTTCATTTTTGAGATGTACAAAACAGAGATAAAGTTATACATAAACATTAGCCAACTTTGCTTCATATGGACGGCTATTGGGAAGACAAACAAAAGGAGTTATTTGGGGGGAGAAGGAATGCACAGGTATTTTAAATTTACACTCACCTAAAGGATTATTAGGAACACCATACTAATACTGTGTTTGACCCCCTTTTGCCTTCAGAACTGCCTTAATTCTATTTGGCATTGATTCAACAAGGTGCTGAAAGCAGTCTTTAGAAATGTTGGCCCCTATTGATAGAATAGCATCTTGCAGTTGATGGAGATTTGTGGGATGCACATCCAGGGCACGAAGCTCCCGTTCCACCACATCCCAAAGATGCTCTATTGGGTTGAGATCTGGTGACTGTGGGGGCCATTTTAGTACAGTGAACTCATTGTCATGTTCAAGAAACCAATTTGAAATGATTCCAGCTTTGTGACATGGTGCATTATCCTGCTGGAAGTAGCCATCAGAGGATGGGTACATGGTGGCCATAAAGGGATGGACATGGTCAGAAACAATGCTCAGGTAGGCCGTGGCATTTAAACGATGCCCAATTGGCACTAAGGGGCCTAAAGTGTGTCAAGAAAACATCCCCTACACCATTACACCACCACCACCAGCCTGCACAGTGGTAACAAGGCATGATGGATCCATGTTCTCATTCTGTTTACTTCTGTTTCTCATTCTGAGATGAGTGGTACCCGGTGGGGTCTTCTGCTGTTGTAGCCCATCCGCCTCAAGGTTGTGCATGTTGTGGCTTCACAAATGCTTTGCTGCACACCTCGGTTATTTCAGTCAAAGTTGCTCTTCTATCAGCTTGAATCAGTCGGTCCATTCTCCTCTGACCT